TTCCAGTTTCTTGAGGATCCGTGCTGACAGAGAGTTTCCAGCTTTGCCTTTAAAGAGTTCAACATTTTCCTAGAATTGGGCAGCAAAGTGGATTTCCACTTCAGTAGAGCGACTCTGACATTTTTAATTCTTTCTTGAATTTCATACAGATCCCCCCTGGATCCTATGTCCTTGTTCCAAGCTTTTTCCACAGTTGCAGAAAAGCCTTCCTCTTTTACCCATCTCATGTCAAAATAGAACCTCTTTTTGATGTTGTGTTTCACTTCAGTGGTGCTCAGCAGAATCAAGGAGTGATCTGAAGATAGGAGAGGAATGTGCTTAACACTAGTTTGAGGAAAGGTTATGATCCAGTCTGGAGATGAAAAGAATCGATCAAGCCTTTCCTCAATAAACTCTCCCTCTTGTCTGCAGTTATTCCAAGTGTAAGGATATCCTGTATAAGGAGCTTCTGCCATTCCCATAGAATAAATAAAGGATTTGAATGAAGTGAGACTGCTTTCTGTTCTGGGAACACCTCCTCTCTTGTCAATGTTAGAGGTGATATCGTTGAAGTCTCCACCTATGATCCACATATTACCCCATGAGGGCATACATCTTTGGAGAAAGTCCCATTGCATTTGTCTGAAGTTGGGATCAGTACTGGCTTGGATGAAGATGGCCCAGAGAGGGTCAGGGTGATTGGCAAAGGAGAAACAAATTTGTAGGGAGAAATGGTTATGGATGATATTATGGATGAAGATTTTATCTGACCAGAGCAAAAGGAGGCCACCCTTAGTACCAATGGGGGCTTCAAAAAACCAATTATCCGCAAGATTGAGCTTTTTACAGACAGAAAGAACAAATTTTTTGTTTTTTTTTACTTCAGAAAGAAAGAAAAAATCCGGGAGGTGAGTCCTTAGGGACTCTTTGAGCTGGGAAATTGTAGAGGGCCCTCCAAGACCTCTACAATTCCACGCCCCGACTTTCATTTGGAAACTTGGGCCCAGTCATGGCTGGATGCCTCCACCAATTTGGATTGAGATGGGTTGTTATCGAGGTCTGGAGAGGTGGTCTGAGAAGCTTTAGCTTTTTTGGGGTTGGGGGTTTGAGGATCATCCTGTTCCGAGAGAGTGGCTAGGGGTCTTTTGTGTATGGGGTTGGTATGGTTAGAGAAGTTTACAATCTGCGCATCCACAAGCTCATCTTTTTTGGAGGATTTTCTGAGAATTTTTCGGGTTTTTTGAGGCTTTTTCTCTGGGTTGGAGGGCATGGATTGTTGGCTAGTGAAGTTGAAGCTTTGATTGGTTGCTGGATTTGCATCAAGGATTTGGACATCAAGGAGAGAGTTGTCCTCCGGAGGGGAATGGGTTATGGGGGGGTTTCAACAATCATAGGTTGAATATCAACAGCAGGGGAGTTTTTATTGTGGCTAGGTATATTTGAGGTTTGGAGGTTGGGTGTAGTTTTTTCCACATTTGAAGTATGCAATGGGGTTGTGGGTGTTTTGTTGGACTCTTCTGCTTCGCTGGGTTTGTCAGAGCTACTGGACTTGTGTGAGACTCTGTCCTGCAGGAATCTAGCCCGATTGAATGAAGAGAGTGCAGTAGAGGCTTTAAGCCAATCGCCAAATTGGCCTGGGTTCCGCTTATTCTCTTTTATGTCCTCTTTTTTCCAATTGCATTCCCGTTCACTGTGGCCAATCAGCCCGCAGTAGTAGCAGAAGGACTGAAGATTTTCATATCTGAAGTCTACCCAAATCGAATCATTGCCCATCTTTAGTTTAGTGCCGCGGAGCAGGGGCTCGTTGAGATCTATCTGCACTAAGATTTTAATCCACCGACCAGTGATGCTGCCAAAATCAGGGACGAAAACATCTTTAACATTTGCGAATAGTTTGCCTATTTTGAGCCCCGTGTCCTCGGTGATCCAATGAAGGGGGAGGCCATGGATTTGAACCCAGAGGTCAACCTTTGCTTCTTCTTCCCAGTTGATGCTATTCGTTGACCATTCCTTGAGAATTATGTATTGACCATCGAAACTCCAGGTTTTGCCCAAGAAAATCTTGTTTTTGTCTTCTTCAGATTGGAAGACAAATTGGAAGAGATTGTATCCTACAAGCCGAATTGAGAACGGCTGCTGGGTCCTCCAGATATTGCACAGCGTTTCTTTGAGCCCATTAAAGTTTGCTCTTTTGATTCCATGAATTTTTCCAATTAAGCTGCGTGAACATTCTTGGATGCCTGGGGATATGTCATCATTTGATAATGTTACTCCGTTGTCTTCTTTGGTTGATAGATCGAATTTCTGGAGCTTCTCTATTAGATCTGACTCCATGAACTAAAAACTTGGCCTATAGAGATGGAGGGGTTATCCCAAACCTGCAAGAACACCCCAAAAATAAACACGCCTGAAGAGAGTTAGAAGCTTATAAATAAAAAAGTGGAGAAAAGGGGAAAAGGGAAGGGGTTAGCGAGATTGATGGTAGCGAGATTGAGAGTAAGTTGAAAACATCAAACTTAGCTAATCCCAGAATGGGAACCCTAACTCTAGAGAGAGAAATTAATCTCAGTACGAGAACGAAACTTATCCCATCAAGTTCCTAATATTTAGGTGGTCGTTTAAAAGGGATAGTCAAAGGCCCTATTTATTTAAATGACCCTATGTACATGTTTTTTCTTTAAGTAACCCATTCATTAATTAAAGTTAAATAATTAATTGAAATTCCAAAAATATCCTTACATGCT